TCAGATAGCGGGTTTGATAAATTATTAGCTAAGAAATAATAAAAAGCATAATCTACCTAAAATGTGAATGAAACAAGGATGGAGAACCTAGGGAATCGGGGATAATTAATTCAAGTTCTAGCAAAGTTGGGTTATCAATTATTCAGTTCGAGATTGACACTCTCGCTTATGCACCTAGCGGTTCGCTCCCAATACCTCTTCGTAACAAGGGATTGAACATAGACGAACAAGTTCGAGCATACAACACAGGCCAATTATCCCAATCCCAATAAATTCTCGTAACAAGGGACGGGTCATTGACAAGTGCGTATTTCAATCTAAAACACGTAGATTAGTCAATTACGACATCGTCTACCTCATGTGAGCCTAAGTCTACGACTTCTCCCCTTTCGGTTCAAAAAGTCGTTAATTTAACTAGAAGAGTATCAATCGACTAATCACATAGAATCAACGAAACCCTAACTCGACTAGTCAACATTCAATTGTTACCAATTACAAGATCGAAGTGTCACTCTTCGATTATATCAATCAATCAAGCAAGAATATATCAATCCCTAATCGAAACTACTCACATAAGAAAGAACAATTCAAGCCCGACAAATGCACGTTAAGCAAGAACAATCATTCCCTTATCCCTAGCAAAAAGAATTAGCTATGTAAATCGAGTTCAACACACATAATCATTCTTCTCAAATCAATTAACCATTGTTCACGAATTAATAAAAGAGAGAAAAACTTACAAATCATCCCAAATTCAAGTATTGAATTGAATTACAAGCTTAATTCCCTAAATACTATGAAAAAGAGAAAGAAAAATGGAAGAAGAAGATTATAAGAAGAAGAAGAAACAAAAAGGAAGAAGAAGGGTGAAAGAGAGGAGTTTTTGTGTTTTCTCGGGCCCGAGGGTTTTCACCCCGGTCGAGAGGTATTTTTCTTTTTTAGGTCTCTCGTACAAATATATATATGTGAGTACATGACACGGGGCAGAAAACTGATGTGGGCGCTGGACTTGCCTTTGCCGCGACGTGGTGGGCTGTCGCGGCGTGCTGCTGGTGATCGTGGGGTCTGTGCGGCGCGGAGCAGGCCTGTGTCGCGGTGCGGTGGACAGACACGGTGTGGAGAGAGTGACCTGCGCGTGGCATGTCGCGGCGTGATGACCGGCGCGGCGCGGTGCGCGTTGCTTGTCTTCTGTCGGCTATGTGGCATGAGCGCGGCGCGGGGAGAGATGTCGCGCGGGACTGCCGCGGCGTGCCATGCACCGCGGCGCGACACTTAAGTCATCTTCTCTGAAGAGGTCTGGACCGTCGCGCGGCGCGGGGCCTGGAGCTGCTGGCTTACATGCAAACCATCTTCGCGTATTCTATCCGTTCGAGCTCGTCCAACCTCCGAATTTGGTTCCATTTTCTTCTATGTGTTGCTAACGAGACACTCTATCCAAATGTGTTCACCCGAGCCATTTATCATGAAAATCACATCTTCCCGAGTCTTCGAGCCTGCACACCAACGACGACAAAAAAAAACGAAAAAAGTCCGAAAAAACACTAGAAAGACCGAAATAAAGCAAAACATGAAAAAAAATATAAAATAAACGAAAACTCGACTAAACGACTCAAAAATGGGGAAAAAGAAAGATAAAAAGATAACGAAAAACGCAACAAAAATGGGACAAATAAAAAACAAAGATCGACCTGGAAGCAGTAACTAGGGCGATAATGACCTTTCGAAAGGAGGAGTCAACCGCAAGGCTTAGCTCATGTCGAGCTCGGTCACCTAATGGACTAAGAGGTAGAATCACCCTCAGAAGCTGTAAGAGAAGATGTTCTACCTGGTGATGTGGACCTGGTCCCATGACAAGACAAAAGGGCATCTAAATCGGGGATAAGGCCATGCGAGGATTGGACCACGTGTTGCAACAATATTGGTTCGTCTGCACACCTTACAAAGCCTGACCTCTCGCAAACCTATAGATCGGACGGACGGGAAGCCTGGGCAGTAGGGTCAACTATCCAGGCAGACTTGGAGATCAAGACACCACACCCCTGTATAAAGGGGTGTGATAGGTCATCTTACAGTTTACATTCTCTACACACTCTTATATACTTAATCATTGTTCATCATATTCGTCAGCCTCTAACTGACGTAGGCATCTAAGGCTCTTCGCTACCCCATTTCTGGTGTCAAGTTCTTGTAGGTTCGAAGACTGTCTGGGTAGAGGAAGGCATATTCAGGCGTACTAGTTCGAGTAAAAGAGTCAGATCCATTTTACTATTAGAGTTCATACGCTGTATTTATTTAACAATTTTATGTTATTCCACGTAAAAGGCAAAATTTTCGTATGAGTAAATATTTGACCTAGTTTATTATGAACTACTCTCTTTACAACAACAAAATAACAATAAACATTTGAGAACATCACGGTACTATGCAGTTAATAAGGTTGTGTTTGGTAAGCATATAAGATAACTTATAGCTTATTGGACTAGCTTATAAGTTTTTTTGTATCCAAATAAGTTTGGTTTGGTATGATTTTTTTTTTTCGAAGCTCGAGCTTATATCATTAACTTCCTTAGGTAACTTTTCAAATAAGCCCGGTTAAAATTTTTATTTCACTTGATTTATCAGCTATTTTTACCAAACACTTTTCTCATATGCTAGCTTTTTAGCAATAAGTCGTAAGTTACTTGCTAAAAGCTCAAGATCATTTAGAAGCTGTAAACTAGCTTATCATCCAGGTTTACCAAATGTAGCATAAATGTTCAAAGTTTACGCGTAATGTATTTTAAGGCTATGTTTGATAACCAAATAAACTAGCTTATAACTTATTTAGTTAGCTTATAAGCCTTTTGTATTCAAATTAGTTTCATGTAATAGGACGAGCTTTTTAAAAAAACTTGAAGTTATCTTTAAGCTTTTTTTGGGTAATTTTTCAAATATGTTCGTTGAAATTTTTATTTCTGCTACCTCTAATTTTACCAAATATTTTTATCATATAAATTAGTTTTTCAATTATAAATCTTAAATTATAAATTCAAAATTTACTTATCAACTATGAACTATGTGGAAACTGAAAATTAAAGGGAAGATTAAGCACTTCCTTTGGAAGTGTGTGAATAACATATTGCCAGTCAACACTTGCATTGCTAAGAGGGGAATTCCTATTGATGCCAGATGCCAACTCTATGGAGAGGAACCAGAAACAGTCCACCACATGTTCTTCACTTGTCCTAAGACCATATTGATCTGGAAGCTGGCACCCATTCAATGGGATGGCTTAGATCTCCATGCTGAAAGTTTTTCTCATTGGTGGACCAACTTATGCTCTATCCCTATGACATCAATCAATGAGGCTAGAATTCAACTCAAAACTTACTTGCTTTGGTGGATTTGGAAAGCAAGGAATTTGTGGATTTTCCAAGGCTTATGGAGAGCCGAGCTGGCTGTGGTGAATGTAGCAGTGGAAGAGTGGCTGGAATTCATCAATGTGCAGAGTTTTAAAGTCTGATGTAGCTGGTTGTTTTGTTCTGCTTCTGTTGTTAGTAGTATTGTGTGTTTTGCATTGTTGTAGGGTTGCTTTGGTCTTGGCTTGTTTTGAGTAGTTAGTTGCCTTTTGCTGCAGTGGTTTTTGTGGGTAGTAGTGCTGGTTAGTGGTAGTCCAGCTTGGCTAGGGTGTGTGCCAGTGGTTAAGCTGTTTTGCTTTTGGTTAGATAGGATCAAGTCCTTGGTTTCTATGTTGGAATATGCCATGGATTTTGATCCTTTCTATTGGTTTTTGTTTTTGAACAGATTTGTTCTGCCAGGCTTGGCTGGTCATTGGGCTATTTAGCCCCACCTCATGTACAAATGTTTGGAGCTATAAAACTTATCGTTTTACATGTGCCATTGATGTGGATTACATGTGCCATTGCTGTGGAGAAGCCCCAGAAACAGTGGAACACCTTTTTTTTCACTGTCCAAGATCTCAACTCATTTGGAAGCTAGCTCCACTTGACTGGGGGAACTCTATGAATGAAGCTCACAATTTTAAAAACTGGTGGTGGTGGATAACTTATATGGATAGGAAAGAGACTTCAGAACATAGAATCCAATTGTCCACATATATCTTATGGTGGGTTTGGAAAACAAGAAACCTATGGCTTTTTCAAAAGATATGGAGATCCGAGGCAGAAGTGATCAAGCTGGCTTTGGATGATTGGTCTGAGTACAATGGCAGGTTCTCTCCACAAAATTGATTATTGATGTTTTTTCATTTGGCAGGCATATATGGAGCTTAGGTCCTCTGGTCAGTTTGCTGCATGTATGTTCTGTTTTCTTTTTTAGTTTATCCTTATGTGGTTTTTCTTGTGTTAGGTAGTAAGGGTCCAAATTGTGTATTTGCCTTACTTCCTTGTTTGCTGTTGGTTTTTGGTTCCTCTTAGGCAGTTTGTTGCTTTCCTTTCTCTTGCATTTCTTTCTGTTTGTTTAGCTCACCGGGATGTGGTGTAGCTCTCTTGTCTTTAAGAGCTAGTTAGCTCTTCGATGTATTGAACTCTTTTGTTTATTTATGAGTATTCCTATCGTTCCGGAAAAAAAAAGGCAGATAATTAAAAAATAATTAATGTATTCTTTTAATAATGAAGAATAAAAGAAAAAAACTCCAAAATACGCAGCACAGTTGCAAAAAGGGTAAAAGCAGGGACAACCATCCACACTGCCATCATCCGCCGCCAACCTTCGTCAACCACCTTCCACTGCCATCATCTGTCGCCAACCTCCGTCAACCACACACCACCTTCCACGTACATCAACCACAATCAACTTCCAATTTCACAGCTTTCAATTATCAGGGTTTCATCATCCTCTGTCAACCACACACCACCTTCCACGTCCATCAACCACAACCAACTTCCACTTTCACCGCCTTCAACTATTGGGAAATTTTCTGGCAAATTGAAAAGAAATGTGACATCAAATCTGAAATGGACGACAACAAAAAGTAGTTGAACTTCACGTACGAGTTTTATTCAAGATTCGAAGGCTGCGTTGGGTTGTCCCGGAGAGAGCGACAAGAGGTACTGGATTTCCAAACAGCTATGTTGTGATTTCCGAGGCAGTGATGGATTCATGCAGGAGACAGCGACGGAGTCGACCTTGAACGAGATAATGGAGCTTGGAGGCAACAGTCTTTGAGAATCATCATCTGCGTAGCCAGTGTAGGAGAGAGGAAAGCAAATCTTAAAAAAAAATATAGAGAAGGAGAAAACGGAAAGAAAAATAAAAAGAAAAAATGAATAACAATAAAGTATGAAATGTATATTTGCCTATTTGGATATCCAGCTGGAATTGAAGAAAAAAAATTGCAAATGATAATAAAATAAGTTATCAGGCAACATCAGCATTTTGCACCTTTTGGGATTAAAATGTGATTATCATGGATTAAGTTTAATGATAGGCCAATATAATACACCATTCGTGTACGTAGGCTTAGTTAGTGGACCAATTATGAAATTTTTCCTAGTAATTCTTGTATCTGCTTCCACCTTAGTAAATGATCTTCCTTTCTGAATTATGTTTTAGAATGATGAATTGTCTGTTTTAAATGCTTTAGTTCACTTTTATCTCCCAGGATTCTGCTTTCTAAAAATAATTCCTGATCAATTATTTGCCAGGTGAAAGCTGAAAAAAGTTGGTTGGAGAGAAATGATGAATCCATTGAACTGGTTTTGGAGGACAATGACAGTGAGGAGGACAGAGTGAAGAAATACAGGCAAAATAAGAACAAATCAAATCAGCTGAACAAGTTTCAGCAGGTCTGTGTTTAACAGAAGTGTTCTCACTTAATTGATCAACTTGTTTCATGTAAATGTCTCAGAAGTAGAGATAGATGGAGTTCATTGGGATAAATATCTTATTGGGACATGTCCTGCCATAAAATTTCAGGACCTCGACTCATTACTTTCGAGGCCATTGCAACTCAGAGAACTTTCAAAGCGTTATTTGGCAGGGGTAAGTAAAACTACCCGATCAAGAGAGTTTATTGTCTGGTATAGCGCATAACCTGTCACATATCGAACATTTGCATTCAGATAAGGTAACTTGTGTCTTGTGTCTGGTTTTTTCTTGTGGTACCTTGATAATTTTCTCTGGTGGCTGTTTCACTTTCATGATTCACTATATGCAAGGTAACTTGTGTCTTGTGTCTGGTTTTTTCTTGTGGTACCTTGATAATTTTCTCTGGTGGCTGTTTCACTTTCATGATTCACTATATGCAAATGACAGCTAGGCTGGCATTATTTGTTTTACAATCTAGGCAACAGTAAAACATTTAGTGGATAATTGAAGTAGGTGTTATCTAGGCTAAATTGCAAAAACTAGCCACTAACTTAGACGGGTTGGCAATTTTAGTCACATTCTTTTCATTTTGGCACTTTTAGCCAAAACGTTTTAAAAATTTGGTCTTTCTACCCAAATCCGGCCAAAGTCGTCGGAACTCCACCTGAGAACACCGAAATTGCCAGTGTGGAACTACACGTGGACACTTAATCCAAATCAGCTCGCTCCTCTATAAATACCTCTTCCACACTTAATCCACATCAGCTCACACTTCACACAGAAATTTGGGGAAAAAATCGGGTAGAACATAAACCCTAAATCGGGCAACAAAAACCTAATGCTCGCGAAGCTGCAAATCGGAGAAGAAACCTAGAGATTAAGATGACGATTTGATGACATCCTCAATATACATGCGAAGTAGTAGGAAGCCAAACTCTTGTCCGCCTCCGTACAGTAAGATTTCTTAATTTTCCGTGCGAAGCAGTAAGATTTGAAGTTCTGTATATATTTGTTTTTTTATGAAGATAGTTTTTTTTAAAATGTTAGAATTAAAGTGGTGGTCCTTTTTTGTGGTTTAATGTTTAGGTTTATACAGACATGTGGGGACATTGACAATCGTTTTTTATTCATATGAAAAGTTGTTATATGTTCTGATAAAAATTTATTATTTTTTTTAATCACAACTCGTGAAAGTGGTCAAATCAGTGTGGTTGTGTACTATGGAGGTCAATTTGTCAATGAACCTAATGCTTACTATAAGGGTGGTGATTCCATTATCTTTGACTATGTGAATAGTAAAGGAATGAACATAGAAACCCTAAATAGTTTAACTGATGAGGCTGTTGGAAAAAGAAAAAAGAGAAAATATTATGTGTTGTGTGGCAGCTTTCAGGGAATTTTTTCTGATGAAGATGCTAGGACTTGGTTTATTACTCATCTACCTCTTAAGGAGATAGAGATTTATGTGGATGTGATAGCAAGTGATGATGGAGACTCTCTTGATTCTGATTACAATGTGGAAACTGAGCAAAGTAGTGATGATGATCAGCTGTTTGAGAACAATGTAGATCTTAGTGTGGACACAACTAATAAACTGTCAGAAGCATTTGCTGAAAAGGCTAATGGAGAAGAATCTGTTCAAAAAGACTGTAATGAAGCCTCTATTCAAAAGAACTCTGATGAAGACTCTCCTGATTCTGATTACATTGGGGAAACTGAGCAAAGTGATGATGATGACATGTTTGAGGTAAATGTTGATCTTAGTGTGGACACAACAGATAAGCTTTCAGAAGCATTTGTTGAAAAGGATGGTGGAGAAACATCTGTTCAGAAAGAGTGTGATCAAACATCTTCTCAAAAAGAGTGTGATCAAACCTCTATTCAAAAAGAGTGTGATGACACCTCTGTCCAAAAGAGCTATGGTGAAGACTCTGTTGACTCTGAATACAATATGGAAACTGAGGAAAATGACAATAATGATGAGCATTTTGAGGATAACATTGGTCACAGTGTGGACACAACAAATCAGTTGTCAGAAGCATCTCGTTTAATGGAAGTGGACAATGATGAGGAATTGTTCAAGCTTATTGAAGATTTTTCTGGGGTGTCTGTTGGAACCCACGAGGAT